AAGACGGTCGTTTTCAAAAGGAAGCACCCTGGAAGTGAATGTGTTGGGGTGAACGCTGCCTGCTGGGGAGCTGAAGCTTCCCTCCTGTCACTTTGCTGCCAAATGGAAAACATCCCGCTCTTTAAAAAACCAACCACGACCAGAAAAAGATAGATATAGCATATGCAATCAATACCCCTGAATGGACCCTGGCAATGGCTAAACTGGCAATTGTTGTTACACATGCTTTGCCACAATGACAAAAATTTTTTTAAAGAAACCATCAGAAAGGTGGGGGAAGCCACGCAGGAAGGAGTGGGCAGTCACTAAAGCCCAGGTGCCAGGTACCACAAAGAACTTCAAACATGACCAGGACGAGTTACCACGATTCATGAAAAGGTGGGTTTTTAAGAAATAAATGCCAAGGGGGTGAGGGGTGGCTTCAAAAGTTTATGGAGAAATTTGATGATCTTTCCATTGCATTTGTCCACGAACTTTTTGAAACCCCCTGGTATCAATTGTGGCGGCCTCGATGGCAGCACAAAGCTGAGCAACTAGGGGAAGGCGGGTGCCCAGGCACTGCCCCCTGCCATCAGTGGTGCCCCCTGCCCAGCGGATGCCAAGCCCCTCACCAGCTTTTTGAGGCCATGGGTGACTCTGTGGCAATTCTCATCTTGCATGCAGGAAACCAGTCCCGGGGAAGGACATCATGCTGGGTGAAGCAGAGGGGCAGCAAGAGAGGAAGGCCTTCAGCAAGATGCCCTGACACAGGGGTGCAACAACGGGCTCACGCCTAAGACCAGTTGTGAGGATGGGCCGCACTGCATTCTGTGGGCACAGCCTCTCCGGTGATAACCGGTCCAAAGCAGCGAGCCCAAGTCTCACCTCCACGGGAGCATTCTGGTTGTACTTCTCGACAGCCTGGGTTGTTCTTCTGGCAGTACGTGGTCCTTTGCAATAGTCTTCATTCCACGGCATCCGTTATCCCACGGTCTTCTTCCTGCATTGCCCGGGGTTCCCACGCACACAAGGTGATTGAAAACACCATGGTTCGACTCAGGTTCATCCTCGCCCTCCCTGCGACACCTTTGCCCATGGACACCAGGGTTGGATCCAATTGTGCGTGGGGTCACCAGGATCAGGGGCAGACTCAAAGGCAGTTCACAGTGCCAACAATGAGGTCTTTATTCCACCTGGCTGGACAGCCTCCCTCCGGCTGCGGCTGCCTGGATACCACAGAGCCCTGCTGTCTTCCTGGAGGCTTCTCCTTGCTTGCTGCTTTCTAGGGAGACAGCCCTAGCGTTTACAAGTCGGGCCGCGAACTGCAAGGTCAGCAGTTCGAAACCATCAGCTACGCTTTGGGAGAGTACGGGCTTTGGGAACTCACAGGGGCAGTTCCGCCCTGTCCTAGAGGGTCACATTGACGCAGTGGCTGTGAGTTTTGAGGGAGGTGGCAAAGAGCCCCGATGGCATATTGCATTATGAGTTTGTCAGCTAACGAACCTCAAGGTGAGCAGCTCAAACCCACCAGCCGCTCTGCAGAAAGATGCAGCTTTCTGCTCCGGTCGCAGAGCCCACAGGGCCCGTTCCCCCGTGCCTTAGAGGGTCCTCATGAGTTAGACTAGACCGGATGGCAGTGAATTTGGTTGGGGGATTGCGGAGGGAGACAGGCCTAGGGACTTTTAACTGTCTATTCTTTCAAGAATGGGGAGGGCTGTTTGGCATCAAAGCAAGTCCAAACACTGGGAGATAAGAGATCAACGTCAACTCTAAAAGTCAGAGAGAGACAAGGCTCAGAAATAATCACATCCGGGGCGTTTTGCTGGGAGAAAGAAGAGATGGCCTGCCCCTGTGAAGATTCAAACCCTGGGAAACCCTCGGGGGCAGTTTTACCTGAGTCAGAGTCGGCTCGATGGCCGTGAGTTTTGGGGGGGAGCTTGAGGGTGTTGTGCTGCGCACGGGGTTGCCCCAGTCAGAACCGACGTGATGACACCTAACACCAAGCGAGTCAACAGCAGGGCCAGTGGGGCAGGAGGGGGCACCCAGCTACAAGAAAAACCCAGAAACCAAGCTCCCTGCCGGCCAGCGACCCTACAGGACAGGATGGAACGGCCCCAGTGAGTTTCGGAGACCGTAACTCTTTATGGGAGTAGAAAGCCTCGTCTTTGTTCTTTGGAGCAACTGGCGGTTTCGAGCTGCCGACCTGGCAGGTAGCAGCCCAAGGAATAATCCAAGACTGGAGTCCCTCCAGCTACAAGGGGGCAAAATTCAGACCCTCTCAAAAGGGGGAAGCAATTCATCAGCAGGAGCTGGTCAGATGTCCCAATGGGAAGATGTCTCATCCCCCTACCCGACCCCACCCCCTCATGTGACCGACGGATCAGCATTTTTAGCCTCCCATCCAAACACCAGAGACCCGGTCAGGACGGCAGAAAATAAAACCCTCCCTCGTGTGGGCCTCCTCCAGTTACGGACCCCGGAGTACCGTGGCCGGGAAAGCTGAGCCCTTTCATCGTCTCCCACATGGAGGGAATTCACTGGCTTTCACACACTGTTCCCCCAACACCTGGCCTGGGCACTCTCCTCCAGCTGGATCCTGTTCAGCAAGTGCCCCTAGGCTCCTGCTTGCCTCGAAAAATATCCATCAGCTGTCAGAAGAGCGAAACCCCATCTCGGCTCTGGCGAAACCCTCACTTGGGGGGAAAGCACGCCAGGCAATTTGGTCAGGCCTACTAAGATATAACACAATCCAGGTGAAGGAGTCCGCCTGTCTGGAGGCGCAGGCACATCACAGGCACAGCACTGAGAACTCTCTCTCCAGAGAGGAGGGGTGACCCCGGGCCGGGCGTGGAGGGGGCGGGATGGAAACCGTCTGTAGCACGGAAGGGGGCAGTTTGGAATTGGATTTCACAAATGGGGAACTTTCGGGTAACCTTGATCTAAAACCCCAACAACTCACAGCAAAGCTGTAGGCCGAACACAAGGGCTCCATAGGGTTGGCCAGACTGTTCTTCTTTCCCAAGGGGCCCTGGTGGCATAGGGGCTACACGGTGGGCTGCAGTGAGGTCAGCAGTTCAAAGCCACCAGCTGCTTTCTACTCCCTTAAAGTTACAGTCTTGGAAACCCACAGGGGCAGCCCTACCCTGTCCTTCCAGGTCAAGATGGGTTGGCATTGACTCGATGACAATGCGTAAGTAGCTCTGCATGGGGCAGACTGGTCCATCTTTTTCCCGAGTGGCGGCTGGTGGATTGGAACTGCCAACCAGGTTAGCAGCTCGGCATTTAAAGGCTCCTTTGCGCTCAGAGTGTTTTCCAAATATTTTGAGATGGCATGACCGCCTCCATGCTCTGCAAACCTCGGACTTTGTCCAACAGGGAACCAAGCTTAAAACACACGGAACCTTAGGAGCCTTCGCCCCAACCCCCACCTGCTCCCAAGTCCACTAACACCCTCCTTTAGGAGTCTCTGGCCTGTGTCACTCAGATAAGAGCCCTAATGAGACACAGTCCAAGAGCTGGGCTGCTCACTGGGAGAGGAGCAGTTTGAACCCACCGGCTGTGCCCCACGGAGAACAGAGAAGGACCAGAGAAGGACATGGCCGTCCACTTCCATCAAGATTTATAGCTTGGGAGACCCTGAGGGGCTTGAACTCGGGGCGGAGTCAGACTCGATGGCAGGTGTGAAATTTTATTCTGATGGAGACCTGAGGGGCAGAGTCTCAAGTTTCAGAGCAATTGTTCCTCCTGCGGGATCGGCTCTGGGTTTTGTGCAGACGATTGAGGTCACACCTTCGGGCCCAGAGTTCCACTTCCCCGTGCGTGAGCACTCAGTAACACATGGGCATGCTTTTTATAGAGCCCTGGTGTTCCCGAACCGGCTTTAGGCTTGAAACCCTAAGCTTCGAGGTTTTAAAAAAAAGGCCCAGACGCAGAGTCCCTGCTAATAAGGCTCACCTTCTCAGGCCTGCAGGAGGAGAGCTGGGAACGGGCCGTGCTGACCACAGGCACGTCAGAGTCGGGGCAAGGCTGCAGCCTGAGCAAGCCCATCGACTGAGGACCTTCTGTCCATCCACCTGGCAAACTCAGCCATGGCCCTTACACCCACAAAAAAACATCCACCGTCCCAATTCACACCTTCCTCCCAGGAAGGAGCGCGCGACACACACACACACACACACACACACACACACACACACACACACGCGCTGGTGTTTAGTGCTCACTGCATGAGACGAGGATGCCTACTGGCTCCCCAAAGGGAAACTGTAGAAGTGTGTGGCTAAAATCCAACCCAACTTGAAAATCATTCTCAAGAATAAACTGTGGCTTTATAGATTCTGATTTTTCTATTACCATCCTACCACCAAACAGCTGTGAAAATACACCAGTCATTCTTGATGGGCTTCCTCCTAACGTAGGCCCACCCCGAAACCTGGGTTTCGAAAATTGGGTCAATGTTGATCTTTGATCCCTCGCTCGGCAGTGAGGGGCAGGCCCACGGGAGGGAACTTTCTGTCCCAGTTTCTTCAATGAAGACTGAGAGGGAAGCAGGTTATGACAGGTCGTAGCTTCCATCCAGTGGGTGGGTAAGAGGTGCCGTGGTGGCTGGGGGCAGGTGGGGAGTCTGGCCTTCCTTGCCAAGGCTCAGGTGTCTATTCCCAGCGGATGCCCCTCACATGCAGCTACTGCCCATCTGTGACACTGAACTGGAACCGGTTTCAGCAGAACTTCCAGACTCAGACAGACCAGGAAGAAAGGCCTGGTGATCCACTACTCCCAAGTCGGTCAGGGAAAACTCAATGGCTGAGGATGCAGGACCAGGCAGCCTCTCGTTCCATCAGGGGGTGGGGACGAGAGGAGACTTAACGAGAACTAACAGCAGCAACAACAGGTGAGTGATTTGGGTGGAGAATCCGCCCAGGGAGCCTTTGGGTTGGTTTTCGTGTGCAATGTGTACAAAATCTCACTCACAGACGCCATGCCTCACACACTCAGAGAGAGAGAAATAACGACTCCCAGGCTAGGGCTGACACATCCTTTTTATGTGCACGGGGTTCCCAGCCCAGGTAGAGTTACTGTCCCAGCATCTTAGTTACCGTCTTAGTTACTGCAGCAGCTCCTTTTAGATGTGTGAACAGCACTAGCCCTGGGCCGACAGAGACTGTCCTCCCTGTAAGCCGTCTCCCTTCCCCCCAAGAACCTATTCTTAGCCAACACTTGCGGGGCCTCCTGGGAAGAACAAGAGCCCTGTGGGACCAAAGCGAGAGCCCCCCTCTCTCCCCACCCCTGAGAGTGGGAGGGGACTGGAAGGTCAGAGTTGGCGGGTGTGATTCGACTGCTTCCCTAGACGCCGGGGCCCACCTTCAAGCTGCTGATTAAGCGGCCTGTTTCCTGGCAGCCGCCCAGAGGGAGGAAAAGAAACCTACAATGGTGTGAGGAAGTTAAAAAAACAAAACAAAACCAAAAAAACCCTGGGTATTGTGGTTTAAAAAACAAAACAAAAACACTTGGTAATCAATGGGCTTCCGCAAAGCCCATGTATCAAATTCACGGGGTGGGACTGTAACTCAGCCTTCTGGGTTCTACAGCCGACAAGCGTTTCATAAAGGTAATGACTTAGCACCAGTTTCTCTCCTTCTCCGGGGGAGTCTCCCTCTCCCCTGAGCCCTGGGCCGTGCCCACCACGGTGGGAGCCAGGCTGGGAGGCTCTGAAGGAGTCACAGAGCGGGGCGTGAACGGAGTGCAGCCACATGCCACAGAGCCAAATGGCGAGCCACTGGTGGGGTCTGTGTCGGTGTGGGGGGCTGGCGAGGGGGGAGAAACGAGCCTCCCCACCGTCTCGTCCTGGGGGGTGCTGCTGGGCGAGCCAGGCCGTTACTCAAAGCGCCGCAGGTGGTTGTACAGCGACTGCACGTAGGTGAACACACACATGGGGTCAGGCTTGCGGCCCATCACCATCATATCCTCCACCTCGATCAGCCGCTCGCAGCTTGCCAGGTTCCTGAAACACAGAAGCCCCCCGTCAGCAGGACAGCCCCGGGCCAGAGCTCAGCCTGGGAGTGGTGAGCCTGGCCCTCCAAGGTTCTACAGAGCTGGTCTGAATTGGTATTTGCCATCATCCCATGCCATGACCCACCTCGACGATTCTCGCACAAACCAAACAACTCAGTCACTGCCATCCAAGTTCATTCTGACTCACGGCAGCCCCCTACAGGGCAGGCTAGACCTGCCCCTGTGGGCTCCTGAGACTGCAACACTTTCAAGGGAGTGGAAGCCCCACCTCTGTCCCTGGGAGCAGCTGGTGGTTTCGAACGGCTGACCTTGCATTAGCAGCCCAACACATAACCATGACACCACAACTCAAATTTTCTTAATTTGGGTTTACTGAAAAGATTTATTTACATTTTAAATGAAAATTACATTTACTCACACACACACATATTCTCAAAATCAAAACTCACTCCCATTGAGTCAATTCTGATTCACAGCAGACCTACAGGACGGAGTATGGGTTTCCGAAATGGAAGTAGAAAGTCACACACACACACACACGCACGCATCAGCCCTAGCCCATTGCCACTGAGTTGCTTGCAACTCATAGCAACCCAACATCGGGTTTCTGAGTATAAATCTTTACAGACGCAGACAACCTCATCTTTCCCCCAAGGAGTGGCAGGTAGGTTCAAACTACAGACCTTGCAGTTAGCAGCCCAATATGTAATCCACTGCATCCCAAAGGGTCCAACAGTCACGCTGTGGTCTCAGCCATGGCCAGCATCTCGAACCCGTGTCCATCCCACCTAGCGCAACGCCTCACATAACCCTGCCCCCTCTCGGCACTGTTCTGCTGGTGCCACAGCCAATGGGGAGAAGCACAGGCTCCTTTTAGCCATAATCATTTATTTCTGTCCCAAAAGTTTATTAACACAGGATTCCTTTGTCCATGCTCTTTCTTCACCTTCTCATGTGGCCGCACGTCTGCCCTGTCTCTCCCTCTCTCTAGCTCTCCCTTTCTTTCCGCTATCCTCTCTCCGCTCTGTCTTCCGATCCTCCCTCACCCTGCCCCCTGGACTCTCCTTCCACTCAGGCGGGTGGTGAGCTCTACCAAGACCTGTTCATTGAAACCCACGCTCTGGTCTGCTCTCCTTTCATTCCCATTCTCGCTAGGACGACCACAACTCCCTACAGAGGTAGGAAGGGGACCATCGACAGAGGAGACATGATCCGCCGAACATCTTGGAATCACGGCAGACTTCTTCTAGAAAGCCAAGCGAGGGCACCCACGCCTCCCTGACTCTCTACTCATAGTACGCTGGCTCCCCTAGGCACTAGATGTGGCAGCTGGACATCATCAGGTGGGCCGAGAGGGCACCGATCACGGCAGCTGGCCTGATGGTCTCAGACGCCTTCTTCCAACGGCAGTGTTGGACGAAGTCCTTTTGTAGTTCCAGGAGTCCCCCACCTTTCCCCCACACCCATATCAATAATCAGTGCGGGACTGCCAGGGTTCAAATCCTACTTCCATCTCTTCCTAGCTACAGGATTTGGGGTAAAACACTTCTTCTCCAGACCTCAGTTTCCTCGTCTGGAAAACGAGGACATGACCCAGTTCCCAGGGTGCTGTGAGGGTAAGATGAGGTAAGGCAGGCCTGCAGATCTGGGGCAGCAGTGCCCAGCACGCAGAAGAGCTCAGTACATTTGCGAGCTTCTTGTTGTCACTGTTTTGACTGTCATGATTCAAGAGGAGGAGGGCTTACAGGGAGAAAGGCATAGGGGGAGAGGGCGTTAGAACGGAACCCGAATGCGATTATCAGCTGCCTCTGTGGAGCCACAACTCATGGAGACCCCTTCCTGGTCCTACGCCATCCATGGTCAGCTGGACACTGATGTGACCCACAGGGTTTTAGCAGTGGGTCACTAGGCCTTTTCTTCCGAGTCTGTCTTAGTCTGGAAGCTCCGCTGAAACCTGTTCGGCTTCACAGCAACACGCAAACCTCCAGACGGACGGGAGGGGGCTGCACTGGCCAGAATCTCCCCTCGGAAGACGAGGCTTCTGCCGCTGAGTTACCGTGTCCCCACTAAATCTGGGTCCCAATCCTGGCTCTGCCAATTCCTCCGTTTCCCTGGGCCTGTTTCCTCATCAGAAAGCTCCCTCCCGTAGGGGAGTCAGGGACCAGAGAGCCCCAGCTGGCAGGACAGACTCGGCCAGCTGTCAAGGGGCTCCCCCAGAGTCCCTGCGCTGCACTTTTAGCAGAACATGACCCAGGGGCTGCCCACGTCCTGTCCAGCACCAGAGACAAAGCCGGTACCATTTCCAGGGCCCTGTTCACAGTGCTGGCGGGGCCCCAGGTCTTCTATCACAAACCAAATGTCAGAGTGAAATAGAGACATCTGTCAGGGATCCTATCGCTGCCTCCCCGGGGGCTGGAGTGGGCAGCCTGTAAGAGAATCCAAAGGCCCCCTGGGGTGATGCGCGGGTTAGGCCCAGTGATCGCCACCCTCTCTCCCAGGTCACTCCAACAAGGGCACGCAGGCAGAGGTGCCCCTAGCTTGCAGGATCGGGAGAATACCTACAGGCCACCTGCCCTCACAGGGCTGCTGCCCCCGGGCTCCCACGGTGTGTGGGCAGGCCTTGTCCACGTGAACAAGCCCTGCCCAGGTTATTGCCCCTGTCCCCATGGAAGAGAACAGCACCCCATCCGATGCAGCGTCATCACCAGATGGCATGGAGGTAACCCCAACTCCTGCAGACCCCATGAGCCTCAAACTAAAACTGTGCCCCATGGGGTTTGCAATGGCGGGTTTTCTAGAAGTAGATCACCAGGCCTTTCTGCTGAGGCACCCCTGGGGAGACCTGAGTCACCAAGCTACGCGTTCTGAGCCAAGAGCGCTATAACTGTTGGTACTTTTCACTTCCCCATACTCCATCAGAAACACCAGTCACCTCTACCAAGTCCCTGTCTCAGCTTACATGCCGCCAGGGACAGGGATCTAAATTAAAAAAAAAAAAAAGCAAAATATGACCAGCTGCCACCCAGTTGATTCCGTCGTAGCAATCCTACAGCACAGAGTAGAACTCGAGGTAAGGTTTCCAAGACTACCAATCATTAGGGGGACAGAGTCTCATCTTTCTCCCAAGGAGCAACGGTCGGCTTCAACCACTGACCTTTCCAACAGCAACCCAGCCTGTCACCTATGAGGCTGCCAGGACTCCTCTGCAGACGGTGATCCCTTGTTTGTTTGGGATGCTGTTTGGCCGCTTTTACTTCTCAGCATGCCCCCCACCACACACGCTTACTGAGAAGCTGAGCAGTCAAGGGGTGGAGGTGCTGGGCAGGGAGACAGCACGGAGCCCCCAACCACCCCGGCAGAAGTAAACCCAGCGGGGTAGTCAAGCAACCAACACTCCCTGCCACTGAGTCAATGCCGACTCGTGCGTGGCAACCCTGCAGGACAGGGCAGAACTGCGCCGGCGGGTTTCTGAGACGGAGTCCATCGTCCCGTCTCTGTCTCGTGGAGTTTTGAACTGCTGACCTTGCGGTCTGCAGCTCAACGGGTAACCCTCACGGTTCCTCCAGATCGATGAAGAGGACCGGCAACGGAGGGTCCACGTGAACATTTCTTACAAGTTAAGTCTCCGAGGAGGGGAGGCCCCGGGCAGCTGCCATCCTGCGCCAGGAGCTTTTGTTAAGAATGACACACAAACGTGTTTGTTTTAAGATCATTCGAACAGCACAGAAAAGTCCCGGGGAGAAACGACAGGTCGCTTCAAACCGCACAGCACAGGCCAGGGTTAGCATTGGCTGACGACGTGCTTTTTCAAGGAATTGACTTAGGCCACGGCGGCTGCAACAATGGACACCCCCCATTGCGGAGACTGTGAGGACCGTGCAGGACTGGGCAGGGTTGCGTTCTGATGGGTGGGTGTGGTGGGGGGGCGGGAGTGGGCAGGGGGAGGGAGGAGGTGTTGCTATGAGTCAGAGGGCTTCAAACAGTTGGCGGAAATTTCCCATGATCTTCTAATTCCCCCTTTCCCCAATGTTTGGAAGCCCCCTTGTAAATCTTGATCTTCAGCGACCACTGTCCTGGGAGGAGGTGCTGGGAAGGGGTGGGGGTATTTTTAATGTACTGAGGCCTTCGCTGGATGCAGAGCAGGGTGCCAGGGCTCCGAATACAGCCTCATCTGGTTTTAGACGGAGACACATGGACACTACAAATAGCCTGGAAGGCCAGGCATGCAGCTGCCCGTAACCCGAGCACAGTGCACATTCCCCACAGGGCAAACCGGGAGCCACAGCCCCACGCCCGCTGCCTTGCCCCCGGGCCCTGGGCAAGATGGGGGAAGAGGATGCCAAGACTCAGGCGTCCACTCTGCCCGCCTTCCAGGCAGAAGAACATCTGTTAGACAAGGGCTCTGGGCGGGTCAGCCCCAAATCATCCATGCAGGTGATGCCCACGGGTCCCTTCTGGGCCATAAAGCGTGGCAGGGGAAGAGGGGTGGGCACACACACCACTGCCCCCAGGGTTTCTGGCGGGTCCTAGTGCCTCTAACGCACTTGCACATGGGAAAGGGTCTTGAAAGGCTTCCTTTGGGATATGGGCTCGTGGTTTGGGGGCTGGGGAGAGCAGGCAAGCGTAAGGAAGACCTGTCTGAAATGCTAACGGTATCCTCAAGCAGGTGTCTGCTTTCCCTCCGGCTTTGCTAACCACCCTCTTGTCCAAGGAACTAGGTGAGCCAAGCCGCCAGCTCCTAAGAGCCTCGGGGCAGACGGAAGCCTCCCCCTCCAGCCTTCTCCCCCACCAATCTTCAAGATGATGCTGACAGGGAGACACCTCCCCAGACTCCATGCAAGCCTCCTACTCCCCTCCCACACACACACATGCTCAGAGGCTTGCTGCGGACCCCCTTCTCTGCCGCCTTGAGTCAGCAGAAAAGCAAAGGCCCACCTCAGCTACTGCAGTCAGCCACTGTCCCCTCCCCAGCAGGGAGCCGTCTCAGACCTCCGGGAGGCCCGCCGTTTGCTCTGGGGAGGAGGGAGGCAAAGGCTGGGCCCACCCCCACCAGGCTGGGAATGGAAGAAACATCTGTTTGGAGTCTGGAGGCTACATGAACTCAAACCCTGTGCTCAGAAAGCGAGAGCTTGACTCATTCCCGGCTCCGGCTGCCAAGGGAAGCCGAGTTCCCCTCCAGCTGGGGAGCAGGGCTGCTTTGCTGCCCTCTTACCCACGAGCCGGGGTGAAAGGGGGCCCAGAGACCAAGGAGTGAGCTGGTTCCATGGGACCAGTCAGGCCTCCAGGGCAGAGAACTGGGTGACCAAAGTGTGGCTTCCCCTGGCAGAGGTAGGGGCAGGTCAGAGCCCCCAACTCGATACAGTCATGCACCACCCTCCCCGCCACCTTAGCGCCTTGTCTCCCGCCAGCTGGGTCCCCTCCCTCTGACCACCCCCACCCCACCCCACCACCACTCCGGTCTCCCTGGCTCCACTTCTGCACGGTCGGGGATCTAGTTGCATAACGCGCTCCGCTCAAAGCTGTTTCTGCAATTAGGATGACAGCTAATCCCAAGCAGCCAAGCAAGAGACGGCTTTTAAAGTATACAAGGAGTTCTTATGACCCCAAGAGGTTCCGAGAGGCTGAGCACGTCATCCGATGCTGTGATTCCAAAAAATCAGGCCCAGGAGCTCAGAGCCAGCATCTCTGTTCTGCCCCAGAGCGGGGGCGGCTGCTCCTGGGAGGGCCAGCCTTCTCTGCCCAGGCCCAGCTCCGTGACCATGGGGAGTTCTCAGGGCCAGCAAGCTCGGCCTCCTTTCCTGGCCAGGCTCGGGCCTGGAAGGGTGGGAGTGGTCAGACCGGGAACAAAGTGAGAAATGTGCAGGTGAGCCTGGAATCGGGATCCCTTCCCTGCAAGCCGTGGCGGTGTAGCAGGTTGCAAGCTGGGCTGCTAAGTGCACGGTTGGCAGTTCGAACCCACCAGTCTCTCTGAAGGAGAAAAGCGAGGCTGTGTGCTCCTGGAAACATTTACAGCCTCAGAGACCCTACGGAACGGCCCTGCTCTGTCCTGCAGGGGCGCCATGAGTTGGAAACAACTCAGTAGCAATGGGTTTGTTCTTTGTTTGGGGCAGGTGAAGCCAGGGAGGAACACAGCCCCACAGAGAGGAACAGCATGGAGGCAAGGATGCCCACCCACCCCTTCTAGCTGGGCAGAGGGCCTCCTTCTTCCTGACCTTTTAAGCCCTTTCATGCCCTGCAGGGAGCCTGGAGCAGTGCTCATGACCACCCAGCAGCAGCAACAGGCTCCCGGGTCTGGGGGCAGGAGAGTTAGGCCAGGCTGTCTGCCCCCCACTCCCTGCCAGCTCACTCACTGGAGGCAGCTGCATAGCCCCTCAAAAGCGCAGCTCCCACAAGATGCGTTCAGTATGCAGCACTTCCCCCAGGCCCAATGAGCCCAGCCCAGGTCCAGAGCCCGGTCCCCACTGCCCTTAACCTCCCCCCCCACTCACCCCGGTTCTGCCTCAGCCCACCCAGCCAGGCCCCCTAACTCTCCCTGCCTCCGACCAGCTGGGCCCCCTAACTCTCTGGCACCCACTTTCGAGTTGCCACCTGTTCCCTGCCAGACCCAAACTGGTCCAGCCTGCCCTACCAACTCTTGGCATGCATCAGGTCTGGGGGGCCAGAGAGGGGAGGGGGAGACACTGCCCTCAGCCCACACGGCCAAGCCCCAACCTGGCTTTCCCAAGTACCTCTGGAGCCTGTGAGCCCTCCCCAGCCTCCTCCCTGTGAGTGGGACTTGAGAAGGTAGGGACCGTGTTTGCTGTTGAGAGGAGACATCAGGTCAGCCCCCAGCTCCACACAAAGCTCGGCCTGCTCCGGCACCACCCCCACGATGGGGCAGGTGGGGTGCCAAACCCTGGGAGCCAGAGGACCTTCCGGGCTGGGTTCTGAAAGGACATCTCCAGGCCTTCCTTCCTCACGTGGAAGCACCACTGAAACCTGTCTGGTGGCATCACAGCCTCCCAGGTAGACGGGCAAGGCCCGTCTGTGCAGGGATGGGGTGTGCGGGCAGAAAGCATGCATGGCTCTCCCGCACAAAGGCAATTCTACCCTGAGCTGTAGCATCAGATTCACGGAGGCCAGGTCTCCTTAGGAGAGAACTATGCTCCAGTCCCCCTGGGCAGATATTATCCCATTTCCTACTGACCCATAGCTGTGGCTCGCACAAGCAGCCCAGAGAAGCCACTCGGTGCTCGGGGTGGGGGGAACCCTGTCCCACAGCCCCTCCCACCCTCTGCCGCTGGCCTCCCAGTCAGCACCCCAGAGGCCAACCAACCCCCCAAAAAGGCTGGACAGAGCCCAGCTCCCACTGAGCGCTGTGACCTGGCAAGCCTGATCCCCTCTCCGGGCCTCAGTTTCCCCATCCGCACGCACAAGGGAGAAAGGACGAGTGGCCTTAGGCCCTCCCTCGCTCCTCCGAGCTCTTGACCCCCACCCCTGCCGCCGGGGCAGAGTCTGGCAGGAGGGGCGAGGGGGGCTGGGCAGTGGCTGCAGGGACCCACCACACTCACTCTGCCATGGTGAAGGCCAACTCGAAGTTCTTCTGCCGCTGCGTGGGGCTCAGTGCGCTATAGTCAAAGGCCTCCGGGAAGAAGGAGTGCACCAGTGCACAGAAGGCCATCCCGTCACTCCAGCTGGAGGAGAAGTTCTGCAGGTCCACGTGCTGGGGGCCAGACACCAGGAGTCCCCTGAGAACAGCCCCCGCCCCCTGGCTCCCCCACTCCAAGATCCTCCAGCCCCTCCCAAGGCCCACCGCCCATCCATCTTGCCCACATGAGGCCACTGAAGGGGCCCCTGGGACTGTTGTGCACATCTGTGACCCTCAGGACCAAGCTCAGCCTCGGGGGAGCCCTGGCCCTAGGCTGAGGGCACACGGGGCAGTGCCCCCCACCCTCCACCCCGCTCACCTGGTAGCCTAGCGTCTTGTTCCGACACCACTCCAGCAGGATCTGCTTGATGCTGCTCGCGCTGGCCACGCCAAAGCTCTGCGAGCGCTTCAGCTTCGCCCGTGCCTCCCCTCTCTCGCCCCTGCCCCTGCGGAAGGATGAACGGACAGACAGACGCAGGCTGCTGGGGGGCCGCTTGGCACCACCACCCCAAGAGCCAGGGATGGGCCAGGAGCCCCTGTTCTGCTCACCCGGGAAGACACAGTCAGCTCTCAGTGCCCCCACCCGGCACCCAAGCGAGAACAGAGTCTCCCTCTGAGGGTCTCCGTCAGGACCCTCCACCCCTGTCTGTCCTCTAGGTCCCACACTGGGAATCAGGGGTCTCCTGGGAGTCCTGGGACAGAGGACCTGAGCTTAAGCTGTCCTCCTGCTGGGACCCTTGTCCCCCTTCCCTGCACCCCAGCCTTGTCCTAGGAAGCCTCGTTGCCAGCTTCTTTCTAGCCATAGTGGACAGTTCTCTCCCCCAGAACCCAGGGCCACTCCCCAACTGATGAGAGGGTCCTCAGGACCATCCCCGGGGCCACATGGCGGCGGAGTAGGCCAAGTACTAGACTGCTCACGCAAAGTCACCATCTGGGGATCTCCAGCCCCTCAGGGGGTGACAGACCAGGCTCTCTCCTCTCATAAATGTTCACAGTCTTAAAAACCCACCAGGGCAGCTCTGCTCTGTCCTACAGGGTCATTCTGAGGAGGAATCAACTCAATGGCATTGAGTTTGTCCTCCACCCCACCCATTGTTTTGGGGGTTCTTTTTTTTTTTTTTTTGCTTCCCTTATTAGAATAAGCGCCTTGGGAGGGGGGACATCAGTCCATCCCCATCCCCCCGCCACTGTGTAAGGGCTTGAGGTATGGGGGTGGGCAGGGAGTCTGGGCACTGGAGGAGTCACCTATGAGGGCCACCAGCAAGTCCCAGCTCCAGCCAGAAGTGCCACCTCGCTGCCCTCTGGTCATCTAGGTCAGGCCCAGACTAAAGCCCCTAGGGGATCATTGTAATGTGAAGGGGGCTATCAAGATTGAGGGAGAGGGCAGGGCTCTCAGCGGTCTTGCCTGGCTTCCTGCACCCCAGCCCTCTTCCTCCACAGCAGGGACCACTGACCTCTGACCCACCTGTGTGGTCCTGCCCTACTCTGCGGTCAAGTCACAGGGTAAAGGACAGGGCTATGTTGGCCTGACTCCAGTCTGGACCTAAGCCCAGGGATCCTGGGCGCCCCCACCCCCCACCCCAGCTCTGTGGGTGAGCATCGTACTTGAGGGCTGTGTCCTGCTCCCACTTCTCAAACAACGCCTTCCGGGCCTGTGCCCCCGAGGTGCGGGGCAGCGTCTGCGACCTCACCAGCTCCCTGCGGCGCTCCCCTGGGCGGTGGGCTTGGGGGGTGGCTGATGGCGGCTGCGAGGACTGGGGTGACAGGGGCGCTGTCCCCAGAGTGGGGCTGAGGAGAGAAACGCTTAGTTAGGAAGGCAGAACCAGCCTTCGCCAGCTCAGGCCCGCTCCCTGCCAGAGGGCCAGGCCACACTGCCCCAGCCTCCCCGCCAACCAGCTAGTATTGGAAATGAGGCTGGGGGTGGGGGTGCTGGCCCTCCCAAGGACCTCGAGAAAGGAAATGCCACTGGATCTTGTCCCCAACCAGTTTGGCAGGTTTTCTGAACTGAGCGGGGCCAGCAGTCCCAAAGGACAGTCCCTCTCTCGGGGATGGGGGAGTGGGCCCCTCTCTGAGCCCAATCACCCCCGGGGAGGGGGGGAGGTATGGGAGGTGTCCTTGATTGCAGTGGGCACTCTCTCCAGGTGGGAACGGTACCCAAAGCCAGCCAGTCCTCAGTGCCAAGCTACCCACCTTCCAGTTGGTTCTCCCCTGGAGAGACCGGGGCCAGGGCAATCACAATTCTCCTTTTATTAAAAAGGGCTGGGGGGTGGGGGGAGTCAGTCACCCCACCTCCACAAGCACCGTCCAACTGGTCTAGGGGAACAGAGGGACACAGCCAGGCCTGCAAGGACCTGGCCAGCCCCGTGGCTTTCCCAGGCCCCTGGCAGGAAGAATGGCCAGGTGGCTGAGAGGGAACAAGGGCAGTATGAGGCTCTCCCTCCACCCCACACCTCCTGACCCTCCTTCCTCCTCCAACCTCCTGGCAGGCTTGCTTTGAAGGGTCCACAGAGAACCCAGCCCTCAGCCTTATTTCTCGCAGGCAAGCTCTCACCCAGTCCCTGCTGCCTCATATTCACACTCAAGCCCTACCCAGTGCTCCTGCTGCCCTGGTTCTCCGAGGGCCCAACCCTGTCCCCGTGGGGGCCTTGGCTCAAGGAGGGAGCCAACTCCTGGGCTCTGCATAGGGAGTGTCCTACAGGGTCTAAGGCCACTTGGGGAGCTGCCACCCCGCAGGACATGGGTGTAAGGGCAAGGGTCCAGACTCACCTGTCATTGCTCCTGCCTGCTGTCACTGGCCCATGGCCAGAGCCTGACCATGCGAGAGAGGAATTCTTCTCTGCAGGACAGCGGGAGGGAGAGAAAGAGGCACCCCTGGCCTCAGTGCGGGCTGCCCAGCTCCTTGCCTCTGGTCTGCAGGCCCTCTCCACCCAGCACCAGCCCGGCAGACAGGCAGGCACCCCAGCTAAGCCAGATGCTTGCGATGCCCGCGGGGCCCCCCCCCCCCAATTTCGCAGGCTCAGGGGAGGAACTGGGAAGGGGCAGTCACACACCTGGGAAGTCCCAGGGGGCAGTCATGGCTGGGGTCTCCTGAGTCTCCGCCCTCCTCCACCCAACCCTACTCTCCCTCCCTGTCAGACCCCCACCAGTCCACACCCTCCCACGTACCACTGGGGCTGGGGGTCCAGGGTGTGGTGGCCTCACTGGGGCTCGGGGTGAGGCCCCCCAGGACAGCAGCAGACGTGGGCGACAGAGCCGAGGTCTCGCCAGAGAACCTCTCGGAGACGCGGGTGATGGCCGTGACCGGCTGGTGGGGCAGCCGCAAAGAGAGACTCGCAGGGCGAGGCTTAGGGGGCTCTGGTGCTGGGAAGGTCTGGGCAGCCTCAGCGGTTCCATCCCCTGGACCTGGAACATGGAGGAGCGAGGGTGGGGGTGGGTGTCAGCCATGCCTTCAGAACCCTCCAGGAGGGCTCCCCCCCCCCCCACCACCTCCTCCAGGGAGGCCTCCCTGACTGCATCTCCTGGGGATGGATGTCTTCTTATTCCAACCACAGCAGATGTCTGTAAGTTTCCCGTGTAACCAGGCTCCATCAATACCTACTGGCTTTTCAGTTTGTTCTCTACCCTATTCAGTGCTTGGCCACCTCCCCAGCTTCTGTTTCTATGCTTTCAGGAGCCGGAATGCTCACTCCCCCTGCAAGCTTCACCATTTCTCCTGCATCTAGAAAGTTCTGAGACTGTTCTCCTGGCAGCCTCTGCCCTTGAAGATTAAGGCCTTGGGAGAGCCTGGCACAGATGCAGGGCTGAAACCCTGAGCCCAAACCTACCCACCAGCCCCCCACTGCCCTCGGCCTCTACCTGCCCCTGGTGGGTGCCCGTTCTCAATGACGCACGGGTTTGACATCCTTCTCAGCTCCGGCTCACTGGGCTCGTCGTCGTGGTCCACACTCTGCGGAGGGACAGACAGACAGACACGAGGAATCCAAGGTCAGCCCCACCACGCCAGTTGCCAAGGCCCCCCCTAGTTCAGGCTGAGGGGAGGAAAGAGCGCCCCTGGGGGTGCAGTACTGGCCTGAGGTCACAAACAATCGGGGCCTGAGCTGCTGAGCCCCCAGGATCCTACCAGGCAAAGCACCCCTGCTTCCCTCAACCCAGGTCAGGAACAAGGGTCAAGGCGGTGGGCTCCTGAGAGTGTGCCAGGCTGCTCCCCCCCTCCCCCAGGCCAAAACTGATCCCATCTACTGGAGGCCGACTGTGGTCGGGGGGCATGCTGGGCCCCTGTCCATCCGGCCAGGCCAGGATGCCTGTGTGGGAGAAGCAGGTACCCCGGTAACATAAGGTCTTTTCTGGGCCCACAATGGACAGTGGCTCCTTCACTGGACAAAGGGGGGCAGAGTTACCCAGATGTCCAGAGTGTAGGGGCCCGACTGGCTCAGCTCCCCATCCCAGCAGTAGGGAGGGTGGGCAGGAAGATCAAGAGCAAGCCCAAGAGCAAGTGGGCAGCCTGTGCCACCAGGGTCAGGATAAGGCCCCTGGGTCTCCCATTGTCTAAGAAACAGCATCAGGATACGGCCCCTGGGGTTCCCACTGCCTGTGCCACGAGAGGACGTGCCCCCTGGGCCTCCCAGTGTCCACGCAAAGATACTGCCTAGACCACCTCGGATCTGTCCTCCAAGTAGGTGCCATCAAATCAATGACGACCCTACAGGACAGGGTAGAACTGCCCCTGTGAGTCTCCGAGTCTATAGCTCTTTCCGGGGCTAGAAAGCCTCATCTTTCTCCCGAGGAGCAGCTGGTGGTCTCGAACTGTTGACTCTGTGGTTAAGCACTCCAATGGTTAACAACTACACCACCAAGGCTCCCTTATAGATGGGACCCGAGGGCTCAGAGAGGGGCTGTGTACTGTCCGAGCTGATGCCACATGGTAAGACAGGACCAGTTTGAGATCAAGGTCAAGTCCTCTATTTTGGGCCTGCTCTTCTCATAGTGTGACGCTTTTCTCAGTGCGACGGAGCGGCTGTGAGCGAGAGCCCCTGGGGAGCGGCTGGAGAAATTGGCCATGCCTCTTCCTGGACACCTGCAAGCTGGCCCCCTTGTCCACAAAATACCTGGACGAACCACAGCCCATGCCTGGCGTCAGGTGCTCAGCTCCTGTTAGAAGCAGCACACGAGGCCCCTCTCTGCCATGGAGGGAGTCGGGTCGGTAGACAAGCCAGGCTGGTTCCAAGCCAACATGAGTGTGGCCCAGACAGTCTGCATGCACTTGGGGTCAACCGGGAGGGACAATCGGCTACAAAAACAGAGCCATCAGGACCCAAGACCCTCTGGTCACATACAATGGGGGCACAAGGGGCTGGCAGTCCATGGCCAGAAGACACAGCGCCCAGTGTCCCAAGGTGCTTGGACTGGACTCCTCGAACGAGAAAGAGTGGAAGGTGTTCTCGAGCGATGAGGAGAGGCACCAAACGGCCGGTCACCTGACCAGTCGGGGGCCTGGGGCAGTGGAAGGTCTAGGGTCGGAAGGCCTCAACCAGTTCAGCTGCGGGAGCCAGTGGCTGGGGGGCGGGGGGAGCCCCTGCCACGCCCAGAGTAATTAACCAGGGGTGAGGGCGGACGCCACAGGTTCTGTGGAGACAGCAAGGCCTTCTATGTTGGGTGTGTCGTGTGGAAGGTTCGGAGCTGAGGTCAGGGGATTCTTGGCTATTGAATCTGCAGTTTACGAGGAAAGGGGGCGAACGATGGAAACACCAGAAGCGTGGTGACCGGCTGGGTCCTGAAGGAGGGGACGCGCTGGCTTGGGACGAGGCACTGAGGAGACCCCTACCTTTAAAGGACAGAGGGCATACAGAAGGGGATCTGCAGGGAGAATGAGAAGGGGCAGCCAAAGAGGCAGAGCAAAACCCAGAGGGACGTCAAGAACAGAACACTGGGGGAGAATGTCTGTCCAGGCGGCGGGAGTGTCAGCCCCATCCAGCGTGGCCGGGGTTCATGGCCAAGAAGGTGAAGATCTACAGTGTCCACTGGATTCAGCAAAGGTCACTGGTGATGGCCGTAGGACTAAATTGAAGGTGTGCGAGGGACAGGGACAGGCTATGGGGCAAGGTGGGAGAGAGGAGGCCACATGGGCTCTACATGAGCCTGAGTCCCCTTAGCCCTGAGGGGACAGGAAGTGGGGGGAAGAGGTGGGGATGGGACAGAAGGGAACGTGTTTTAGGCTCCAGCGGGACAGAGGGACTACTGAAGGGGCTGGGTCCCTGGGGAGGCAAGAGCTGTTGAGACCCAGAACTTCGGGAGACCTGGCCTTGAAGAGGAAGTAGACCCCTCAATTTCTGACTCAGGAGGATGAAGGGGAAGGGGTCAAAGCAACCAGAAGGAATGCTGGAGAAGGGTGTGGGGTACCTGCCAGCACCCCAGAAAGTGCAGGACACCTCCAGAGCCAGACTGCAGCTAATTCAACACCAACTGAATCTGAAGAGGAGAACCAGCTAGTTCCTCCCAAACCCTCACTCCCACCTGACACCAGGCTGTCTCTGCCTGGGGGGTGGTCTCCTGAGTCCCCCCACCCAGCCTGCTCTGGTCTAACAGGTTTCACAGGTCCAGATAGAGGCCTAGAGGGACAAGCTGATGGCAAAACCATTTTCTTAGGAATGTGAGTCTATGGAGAAAGGGGGGGGTGGGCACAGATGCCTGTCCCTGCATGTCTCACAGCCCTCCACCCCACCTCTAGCTCCCATGATGCCCCCAGGTCTCAGATAGCACAACCTGACTGGAAATGGGCTCTGGACCAGCCAGGCTCCTGCCAAGAGCTCTCCAGCACGGGGAGGATGGGAAGGGGTTAAGAGTACCCCTTGTAGCTGGGGTGATGCCCAGGTGCCCCCGAGACTAGGGCTATGCCTCACCCAGGGAAAGGGACTCTGCCTAAGGTCAGACCCAGGCCCACCACAGGCCAGGAATCAAAGGCTATTCAGAGACCCTTCAGCCCACCATCACAGAGTCAAAGTTCGAGGCTCAGGTCTCTCCCCTAGCCCTGGGCTCTGTCGATCACGCTGACCTGGCCTTTGAGAGACACACCTGTTGCCCAGGACCTGGGTCAGGTGGGTCCTGCCCAGCTCTACCTGTCTCAGCCTAATGAATGGGAGGAGGGGGTAAGTAACTGGACTTTCCCTTAAAGCAGGAAGCCAGGCTGGGCTGAGGTCCCCAAGTCCACACAGACGTCCCTGTAAACTCTTCGTCCGGCCCATGGACATCCAGAGGTGGGCAGCGGCCAGTCTCAGCCCGGGGAAGGGGACCAGGGGCACTTAGCGCGCTGCAGTCAGAGAGAATCACTACAGACCCAGGGTGGGGAGGGGGTAGGTGGGGAGTCAGTCCTGTTCTGAGTGTTCCTGCACCCCCAAGATTCCTGTCTGGGCTTTATTTTAAGAAGGGGGGAGGGTCCCTCGGCGGGAGCTTGGGAACAACAGAGAAAAGATAAGTCTGATTCCAGGAGATGGGACCCTCTCCTGGGGGAAGTTTTCAGGCCTTTTTTAATAAACAAAAGGAACAATCTTGCAGGTCTCCCGGGGGCTGCCAGAAGCCCCCTTTCAGGCTGCGGTGTGGACACAGGAGACTCTGCTGTGCCTGGCACAGCCAACTCGGAGCCAGCGCCCCAACCCTGAGACGCTGAACACAGCTGCCCGGCTGCCTCCGCTCACACCCGGGTTTTAAAGGACACTCCATTCAGACTTCTCCCCACAGCCTTTAACTCTCTTATCAGCGTGTCTGGGAAAGAAAAGGCAGATAAGGAGAACCTGGCTTCTTTCACCGACGGGCCTCCGACTCAGGTCCTGGCAGCTGGTCCTGAGGGACTGGGGACCAGGCGGCTCCAGCTGAGGGCATTTCCAGGGCTGGGGGTGGGGCCTCACACTGCCCGGCCAGCTCAGCCACCCCCCCCCAAGGAGGCCAGGTCCCTGAGGCAGCTGCAGGGGTGTTTCTGTGTGCCTGGCCAATGTGCATTTATTAATGTTCCAAAGGGCCCAGCCCGCTAGGGCAGGGGGGCCAACAAGCTCAGGCTAACGCCCTCTACTGTGGTTCTATGCTTGTGCGCCGCAGGTGAGCCTTCCCAACGCCTGGCGCCCCAGTGTGTGTCAGACAAGAACGCCACTCTTTAGGCGTGAAAGCTGTGATTTTTCCTTTAAGGCACCTCTGAGTAAACTCGAACTGCCAACCTTGCAGTTCCTGGTCAAGTGCTTAACCATTTGTGCCACCAGGGACTCCCACACACTCGCACCGTTCAGATACAGAAAAGCTGGCATGCAGCTCCGGGTGAGACCTCATAGCACATGCTTCCGACTCCAGCTCCAGTGCACGCCAGGGTCTCTGACCCCCTGCAGGGAGCTCTTCCTGTTGATGCCCACTGCACTGCCCGGCCGGCCTGCCCCGAGCTTGCCTAACCACCACCTGTCCTGCCTATGGCACAAATACAGGAGTCTGGGAGGCCCCAGAACAAGGGACCCAGCTCAGCTCCCCACCCCACCCACCCCACCACCCCACCCCATCCTCCTGCCCCTGCCCTTCACAATGGAGTGACCACAATGAAGTGAGCTCACCCGTCTTTCACTCTGAGGGATCCGGCCCAATACAAGAAGGACCCTGTCCCTCCCCTGCACAACCTCCCTTCCCACAATCCCCCAAACGGAGAGGACTAGCTCACCAAGGTGAATCCATGTTACATGACTAGCGAGCCCTTTCACATGAGCTGAGAGAGAGAGAGAACAGGAAACTCAAAACCAAGCCCGGTCAAGGCGATTCCGACTCACAGACTCCCTACAGGACGGGAGAACTGCCTGCCTCTGCGAGTTTCAGCGCTCTCTGAGCTCTCTGCTCAAGCACAAACCCATCTTTTTCCTGAGGGGCGGCGTTTAAAAACGTCATGGAAAATGGAATTAAAAGATAATGCAGGTTGTAAAGTGCCATGGATTAAATTGTGTCCTCCCCAACTAAGTATTGGAATCCTAATCCAACCCTAAACGAATCCTAACGTGTGGAGGGAATACCATCTGGGAATGAGGTCTTTTGTGAGATCAATGAGGCCTTTATCAGTGTAGGGTGTTTCCTAAACCTAATCAGTTCGGAGCACAACTTCCAGCCAGTTTGGGCTGGAATTTCCTAAGAGGCAGGTGACTGCAACAGCAGCCAGAACAGGCACACTTAGCGGTCTTGCAACAGGGGGCGTGGTGAGCCCTCCAGGAGGGCCATGAGGAAATCTGCATTATGGCCAGGCTGCAGAGAGAGGTATCGAAATGGTGTGGCTGGCCACCATCTTTGAGCCAGGCACCGCTGTTTCTGCCTCTGCTGGTCCAGATTTGGTTGCTATGCAACTGGTGCATTGCTCTTGTTTCTAAGAGGAGAGGAACTTCCCGGCCAGGCACTGACCCATAATTCTCCTGTTCTGGTTACTATTCAGCAGTACACCCACATTTTACCAACTCAGACCCATACGAGTGTCCCTCCATAGGTCAGCACGGAGCCAGAAGCAGCTGGTTAGAGGCCCTGTTTCTGCGTTCTAAAAAGAACCAGTGAGGCACGGGGAAAGCACAGACAGGAGCGAGGGGAAAGACAGATGCCAACGTGAGGTCCACCAAGGACCGAGGAAAGCAGAGGCTACAGAAGCTGACCAAGGACAAAGATCTTTACCCAAAACCAACAGCGAATGCCTAGAACCAGTGCCCTGAACTCAGACTTCTATCCTCCTAACGTGAGAGAAAAAAAACTTCTCTACATCAGTACGAGACAACTAAGACTAGTGGGCTTACTTAGATCACTCAGAGTGCTGGGCTGCTAACCAGGAGGGTTGGCAGTTCGAACCCACTTGCTCCGGATGTGAACATCTGCTTCCCTAAAGATCACAACCTTGGGATCCCACAGGGGCAGTTCTGCCCTGCCTTAGAGGATCACGATGGAATCAACCCAATACAGTGGGGTTGATTTGGGGTTTGTGATGTGTGGACCCGAGACGGTTCTTCCTAAAGCCTGGCCCACTGCTTACATGAGCAGCAGCAGGCCCGCATTGAACTGCTGTGGTGGTTGTTAGTGCCGTCTCTTCGGCCCTGGTTCATGGTGACCCTGTGCTCAACAAAAGGCTCAGAAACAACCAATGACAGTTTATTGAGCACACGCAGGCGCCCAGTGGCTCTATGCCACGGACACGTGTCATGCTCACAGGTCAGAATTGAGTGTGTCCAGAAAGGATCCCTGACAGTACATTTTGGGCTGCTAACCACGAGGTTAACGGTTCCAAACCACTAGCCTCTCCACCTGAGAAAGATACGCATAATTCAGAGTAAAGAATTACAGTCTGGGAAACCCACAGGGACAGTTCTACTCTGTCCTATAGGGTCGCTATGGGTCAGAATTGGTTCAATGATAACGAGTTTTGTTTGTTGTTTTGTTCGCTTGCTTGTTTCTGAGATTTCCGGATACTCCACGAAGAGCCCGGGTTACAAGTTGGACTGCTAACTGTAAGGTCAGCAGTTCAAAACCACCAGCCACTCCTATGGAGAAAGACGAGGCTTTCTGCTTCCGTAAAGAGTTACTGTCTCGGAAACCCACAGGGCAGTCCCGCCCCATCCTACAGAGATGCCATGAGTCTGAATGGATTGGAGGGCAATGAGTACTGTTTCTGTTGTTATTTCATGTTAAAGATTTCCAAACACTCCACACTGAGCACTGAGACAGCCAAATGCTCCCCCCCACACACCACCCCCTCCCACCCCACCACAAAGTCCAGCTCCTTGGCCAGCACATGCAGGGGTCTCCACAACTCCCCCTCCACTCTCAACCTGGTAAGGCTTCCACTCCGGCCGCCAGATGAGACTCTACCAAGCTTGTGAGGATGCAAACACAGCCCAGCCCCACCCCAATCTCCACCCAGAGCAGCAAGCCCTGAATTCCGTCCAGCACAAAGCCTTCCCGGACACCCACTGCGAGGTCAGCTTAGTCGTCAAGTGCTACTGTAGCGGCAGTGGACAACAGCAGTTCAACTGAGTCCACCTCCCACCCAGGCTGGGGCCTCCAGGGCCCAGGCTTAAACTGAGCTCCCTCCTCCTGGCCCCAGAGGTGAAGCTCAAGGCACCTGTGTGCACATGGGGCTGAACCATGGCGGGGCAGCAGGTGCAAACTGCTCCGCAGCAACCCTGCAAACCAAACCCAGCGCCCAGGCTAGCTATGGTGGAAAATCCCACCCAAGGGCCATTGCACACACCATGAAATTTGCTAACCTGGACGTGCCTCTCTGGGAGGCCCGTGCTCAGGGGTGCCGGCCGACTGGTGCGCTCCCTTCCAGTTTCTGCCCTGCCTCCACCTGCTCCGGGCCTCTCTGGCCAATCACTGACCCCAGAAATCCCAAGAGACTGCTTAAGGCTATATTCCCTCTGCCCTCCACCCCCACCCCGCCTGCCCACTACTATGTAGGGTTCCCAGAAGGCAGCGGGGCGGGGGTTGGGGGTCGAGTTTTCTAAGTTAATCAACAACGGGAGCCGTCAGGCCTCAGTGAAGCAGCAATATGGGGGTGGGGGTAGGGCAAGTGAGTGGAGGTCAGCGGGTGGCGCTGACCCCTCCAACACCCTAGCCGGACGCAGGCGGTGTGGACCAGTCCCGGGGCCGAGCCTTTAGTGTCCTGGGACGTTGGGGCGAGGAAAGGAAACTTCCGGCAAACAATGCCGGCTCTCAAGGCGGGAGGGGACCGGAGACAGGTGCAGCGAGCGCATGCAGACCCGTGCTCGGCCTCCTCCCGCTCCCCAGCGACAGCCGGGCCATCCCAACACCGAGTTGTACAGGCCAACCCAACGCCACTGCCCGCGCGCACGCGAGCGAGCGCACCCACGCTCCGGGATTGGGGCGGGGTTGGAGACGGCACCGCGACGCGGAGCCCCTC